CCATCAATAAAGCTCCATCAACCGTCTAACACAACAAGATGAAGATGCGAGAAATGGTTACAGCAATACCTTCCGACGACCTGGGCGAGGGTCTTGATGTAGCTATCGATGATCTCGTCGCGTGTGATATCAGGATTAGCAGCGTCGCCCGCGGGCGGCTCAATGACTACCAGCCAGTGTTCGAAGTCGCAACCATCGAGGAGGATAGTCTCCTTGGGCGGCCGGTTGCTCCAGTTGGGCGAGGAGTCCCGCAGCGACGACGTCGCCGGCTGTGTGGCGAAGCACCGCACCGCCCCGCGCGCCGCCGCCTGGACGGGCGAGGTCGCCGCCGGGAGGAGGCTGGCGGCGGCGGCGAGAGGGCGGAGGAGGAAGCGAGAGGTCGCAGCGGGGAGCGGCGATAGACGGGAGAGGAGGACGGCGCGCGATGCCATCGCCATGGGGGTAAAAACCCTAGGAGATGGATAGGGGATGAGGACGAGACGGAAGAGAGAGAGACGAGAGGAGATAAGGGTTTAGTCTCGCAATGCGCCGGGCGCTAAAAGTCGTGATACAGCGCCCGGTTAGCCAGCTTTTGCGCGCAGTGCGCTGGCTCCAGCAGCGGCCGTCGCAAATTAAAGCGTGTCCACGCCGCTCTAGCAGGTACGCTATATTTCAGTTTTTTTTACTACATATTTGGTTTCGTAGATAGTTCTCATATTACATATTTGATTTCGTAGATCATTCTCCTACTACTACTCGTCCGACTCGGACTCTGTCTCAGTGATGTCCTCCTCCGACGTCAGAGCGTAGGCGTTAAGGAACCGCTCGTCGTCGGAGTTCCAGAAGGACGTATCTCCTAGCGCTTGGTTGTATTTAGCGACCGCCTTCCGCGTTCGCTTGTCCTCGCGATAGTCGGCTCGCTTCTCTCTCCTCTTCGCTCTCCTCTGGACGAAGAACTGTTTCTTATTGGTGTCTTCCGGAAAGCGATGACTCCACAGCACCATGGCTTGCTCGTCCATCTCGACCAGCCTGAGATGATGCTCCCGCTTCCGATGCTTGCGATGATCCTCGTCAGTGAGAAGCCGCGGGAAAGGCGCCAACTCCTGTGCGCGCTTCCGCGTCGCCACGTCGGCGAAGTTCATGTCCTGACGGGACCGCAGGAGGCGCCACGCCGCAGCGTCGTACGCGCGGGCGCCCTCCTGGGCGGTGTCGAAAGTTCCGAGACGGAGCCGCATGCCGCCGCCCGACCGAATCTCGGCGGAGTAGGTGCCGGACGGACGCATGCGGACGCCGCGGTAGCCCGTACCTTCCCGGCGCCGAGGCGGCATCGTGGCGCAGTGGTGGCGTGTCGGCGGCAGAGCGCGACAGGGGGCTATGGAGAGACGGAGACAGCGGCAAAGGGCGATGGAGAGAGCGGCGGAGGCGCTGCAATTTATAGGAGCGCCGGACGCGGCGCGCCAAATGTAGCGCACGAGGGGCCGCCTTTTCCCGCACGCGCAATCGTTTTCTGCGCGCGCTAGTTTCACGCCACCGCTGGAGCGCGCATAAACGTCCCACGTGCGCTATAAAACCAATTTATCGCGCGCACGCGTTTTTTGACGCGGCTGTTGGAGATGCTCTTAAGCCGGTGATGTACTGGTGTTACAGAGGAAATGGTTCTGGTTTCGTGAGCCGAATAATCTGGAGAGTGAGATCCAAGCCTTGATACGGCCATATGGGCTTGGGCCTGGGCATGTGCGCTATTTTGTCGAAATCTGTGTGTTTTCTTTTTAGAAAAATTAAAAATCTGACGTTACTCAAAAAATGGAAAAACCAAAATTCTGATGTTTTCTTAAAAGAAACTAAAAATCTGACACTTGCCTTAAAAAATCTGACGTCGGATGTTTAGGCATGGCACATTTGTTTTTATGGAAATTTATATTGAAAAGATGATGGAAAATTATATTGACAAGCATGGCAATTTTCTAATAAAAGATAATTTGAGACAGATTTACCTTGCTCTTCAACTAAATTTGTCATACTCGGAGAACATAATTTGTGGTAAATACGTTTGATTTGCCATGGTTAAAAATTTGACATTAGATTTGCGCAAATGTTAACGCCCACACGTGTGGCACCAAACAACATGGCCCAAACGCCTTCATTATCATTTATTTTACCACGTCAAAACAGATGACATCAGCGGGAATATTTTTTGTTTTCGGCTTAAAA